CGGCCCCGCGGCTCCCCCGTGGTCACCGCAGCGTTAAGTCCTGCGGCGTCTCTCGTTTCAGGCCGGGTGGAAAGAAAACCACGCGACGTTTATGAACGAGCTCAAAAACCTCCAAGCTGAAGGACTCACCACCCTGGGCCAGTCCCTCAGGACAGCTTTTGATTTATTAAACTTAAATAGATTAGTAACTGGCATAGACAACTATGGGCAGGTAGGTTGACTATTAACAGGAGCAGGGCGGGGGTAAAAAGATTTGAGTTACACACTGTCCCAAGGGCAATAACTAGTTGTCCAAAATGGCATCTCCATGAAATACTGAATATACAGGGCTTCCTCAAAAGAAAAGCGGAGTTCAGGTAGTTTGAGGAAACGTGGTAGCTGACTGTGTTTTTTTTTAACCTAACTTTCCTTTTCTGTTTCAGTTATTCTTCAGTTTTTAAATGCTGACTTAGCCTTCAAGTTCACCTTTTTGGTTAAACTTTGTCATTTTTTTTTCATAACAAATCCTGTGCTTCAGAACCTTAGCTGATAAGCCTAGTGGGATTATGAAAACTTTCCTTGCATATACAGTGCTGCATAATCAATGAAGTACACTGAGAGACGGGCTGCTTTCCTAAAGGCACTGTGTGTTTCAGAAATACTGACTAGAACATGTCTTTTTCAAAATCTTTTCTTTCCAATGAGTTACCACTTTCTCCGAACACCTGTATTTTTATAAAGCTGCTTGTTGTATCTGAGCCTTGAAGCTGTGGTTTCCTAGTGCCTGTGATGCAGCCGTCCCTTTAAAACAGGACATTTTGGGGCGTATTCCACATTCTCTTGCTCGGTGTGTCGCTGTGATAAGTCAGTGACTTTACATTAAGCATATACTTTAGGAAGCATACCCAGTTCTGTCTGGCACTGGATCAAACCTGGATTTGTTCTGCTTATTAGGATCAGGCAAGCATACTGTGCATTCTTTTGCAGAAGGAATACTAACGAGAATCTGCCTATTTCACTTGCTGCTCTCATGCAAGACGTTGCTCTTCTATCTGGGGTTTAGTTGCTCCTCTTGGTGTTTAACATGAATATGTGGTTGGGGAAAAAGTTGTTGTCCCCCTCTGCCTCCCACTCTCCTCCACACTCAAGTCTGAGCACATTCTCTGTCATAACATGCACTGTTTGCTTGGGGAAGGAAATTCATCTCTCTCGCGTTGCATTGTATGACGTTGCCACTAGGTGATCAAGTGAGCCTAAACATTTTTAAAATGCCAGCTTAGTGATGAAACTTTAAAAAAAAAAAAAAAAAAGTGCTAGTTCCACACGTCTCCTCTCTCTCTCTGTTCCCATCTGCTGTCCCCTTCTACATCTGTGTGCTAATCTCTTCTGCTTTCCATTATTTTTGGATCAGTTACATGAACTATACAAAGGTTTTTTTTTAAACTTCACAGTTCTACGTATACACATTAAATACTTGCCCTTTATCATTGCTATTGGCAATGTTTAAAATCCTAATTAAGCCCATGTCAAATAATCTGTCCTGAGTGAACCAGTTGTGCTCAACTACTCGGTCAAGTGGGCAGCTGAGTTCATGTCATGACTGTTTCGACTGGTTAGTGTTCATTACTGCAAATAGCTGCTCTTTTGTCTGTGTAGCAGTGGCTTTTTCTTTGTCTGGTTTGCTTTGATTGCCAGGCTCTCCCAGGGGCTGAGCCCACCCCTGCTAATGTATTTTAGTTGCTCTGTTCCCCATGTGGAACAGACTGTTGAAGAGATGCTCAAATGAGCAGATGAGATGCTGTCCTTTAGTAGTGCCTGCAATAATAGATAGCTTTAGAGAAAGTACCTGATGTTGCTGAAGTTCTCTCATTCCAGGTCTGGTCCACCTAATCAAACTAGCAGGTTTTTCTAAATCAGATTAAGTTTTGAAACACTTTACTGAGCCCTCAGCACTCCTGGGATCAGTTTCAGGGCAGGTAACTTTCCACACATTCACACTGGCCATTGAGTAATATGCTTAACTTATCATTATTGATGTTACTTATCCATGCTTAAGAAAAATGTGCTTTCAAACATACATGCCATGAGATACTTGAGAATTCAGGGTACTAAAAGTGGTCAGAGCCCTGAGTTATATTTGAAATAGTTTCTACACCAAACATGAAGTACTGACTCACTTGTTTTTAAAGAATTAAAATACATCAGACAGAGGTGCTTAAAGAGTGATTATCTTAGGATGGAAGAAAAAGATAATTCTACAAAACCACCATATTTAGATGATCTTAAGTGTGGTATTATGTAAAGTAATAATACACATACTAAGCTTGCAAAAATTTATGGCTTAGCATCTTTTTGCTAATGTGCTTGTTTTTGGTGGATTGACAAGCTTCTTAAATATTTGCTAAGATTCACTTTTGTTTCTCATATGAATTGTAAACTAGATTTTTTTAGTGTACACACATATGACAAGATATGACAAACTTGGTGAGGTTGTCTGGTTATGCCATCCAAGAGTGTGATGCCTTATTCCCCCCCCCGACTAACACTGAACTATTTGTTTAAATGGCAGCGTGACTCACTACCCTTGATTTCTTTTGAAGCAGACCAGAGCTCTCCATCAGCTGACTTCCCGAGCAAGAGCCATGGCTGAATGGTCATTCTGAAACTGAGGAGAAGCTCCTGCTTCGTATTTTTTTGCAACATTAATGTGCACATCTTTAATACCAGTATTTTTATTTATCATATTACCTTTTCAGTAAATAAGACTCAGATGCTCCTGATTGAGTTACCCAGTGTACAGCTGTATTAGCTGACCACAGTCCACAGTCACATCTTAAAGGGAAACTGTCAACACATTTAGTTTGTGAAGAACCTGGAGTATCTTTTCGTAAACTGCTTCTCATTATAATGGTATGGTCTTTCTAAACCCTTTCTCTTAGGAAGGGTTGTTTAGATTCATATTTTCAAACTTTTTTTGTTAGTAAACAATACACGGGGAAGCAGTAAAATTGATGAGAGGAAAATATTTTAATAGGCATTTAGAAAGGATACGTATTTTTAAGAGGACTCTCCCATTAATTTCTATGGCCTTTGCAGCTTGATAAATTCTGTATTATACTGCTGGAGCCTCATAATAGTTACAGATCTTTTCCATGTGCTGAGCTTGGTGTTGATTATGGTAGCAGAAGAATGAACCTTCAGCTAAAGTGTCAGCTTTTTGTGTGAGCTAGAAATAGTGCTCCTCTTCGCCTTCACCATTATTTTTCAAAACAGCTTAATAGAGAAGCACACAATAGTTCAATGTGTTTAGTAAGAAAGACATTTAAGCACATTAATTTCACTATTTAAGCCCGTTATTATATCACACAAAGTTGTACTTCATTAGCCCAGTTTGCACTTGGTTAATTGTCCTTTTTGTTATGTTTTCTCTGTGTCAGCTTCTCCATTGCTTTGGGTACTCTGAAAAAAACAAGCCTTTTAGTAGCCAATTTTCCATCCTCTTGGAAAACACGAGTGAATCTTGCAGCTATGTCTTTTTTGGCACAGCATTTGTAGTGGCACTTTCACTGAATATTTTTATGAATGAGTCAGACAACAAATGGAGCTTGTTATAGTTGATGGAAGGGTTAATATCAGTAAATGAGTACCCAAAACTATTATTTCCACTGAAATAAAAGGCATGAAAACCATAGCTTTTATCTAGTACATCAAAAACATACGGTGTTTGAGTCGGGCCACCTATATATTGAACTTTTTGCAGTTCGTAGTAAAGCTGCTAAGGCTGAGCTATGAATTTCAAGTAGATTTAAATAAGCATCACTGGTGTTTCAATACTTGTATGCAAAGGACCAGTGCAGCAATAGCAGAACTTCAATCTGATGGATATTTGAAATAGCTAAAACTGATTTTCTTACCATCAGTATTGCACAGAATGAGGATAAAGTATACTTATCTGAATGGATTTTCAAAATACTTGAGTATTCAAGCTTTTTTAAAAAATTATTAACTTATAATGACACCTGCAAATTTTATTCGACGTGAAATTTCTATATGGTATTTTGGGTAGAAACTGCTTTTGCCAGAAGCATCAACTCTTTATCTCAGTGGAGTCTTGCACCTCTCTAGGATCGTGATTATTGGTATGGTAAAATTGGCTGAGAGATGAGTTTAATTTCATAGTCAAATTTCATGTAACAAAACCACATGCTAACTGAGTTGTGGTGAAGCAAAAAAGAAAACTGCAACACTGCCATAATCCAAGTGATCTTGAGATAGATGTTTTTCCTTCACGGTAGTGAATGGGCTGCTCTGAAACTTAGCTAATAAGGGAAATACTGAAGACTTCCAAGTCTGTGCTCAGTCTGGTTGAAGTCTTTTCCTACATAGGGATCACATTTAGAAAGAGACATTTAAAAATATACTGAGGGCTGGAAGGCTGTTTTCCTGACCTGGAAGTTGGAAGGTGTCCTGCATATAATGGATTTATTTTTAGCAGTAAACTATATTTATATCACATGTGCCAATCAAACGGGGTGATCTTAGGTGTCTGCTACATTAGAGTTTTCTCTGTGTATGATGGAGGCCATTTGTAGCTGCAGTAACAGTGTTGCTGATACGTTAACACAATTCAACTTCACAATGGCCTGCAGAGACAGTTATGTACGTGTCAAACATCAGCATGTTTGAGGTAATGGCAGAAATGGCATTTCAAGTACTTAAAAACAACATGTTCTTTCCCTAATGCTCCGTACATTGTATTTCAGCAGTGATAAATCCTGCTTTCTTTAAGCAGTTGAGTAGTTTTGTTTTCTGGTTGGTGTTTGAGGATCGTTCCTGGAATTGTCTGCTTTCCAAAGTCAAAATCCCAAGTATGACTTTTGTCTTGGCGTTTTAGGGTCATAAACACCGCGCTGGAATGGCCTGTGTGGAGCGTACATCCAAATTTGGAGCCAGAGTTTAGATTAGCGCTTCCTGCTCTGTCACGCTGGCTCTGCTGCGCAGGCAGTTTGCTTTCCGTGGTGGAAGAGGCAGTTTTGCACTTTCCAGAGCCGCTCTGCTCCCCTTCCCTTCTTTCATTTCCCCAACTAAACCAGGTGGGAGAAATTCAACAGAAAATAGGAAGGCTTGCCTTTCAGGCCCTGCCAATGGTAGTGGTCACTTCAGAAAGCAATGTATTCTAATGCATGTAGGAAGGGAGTTTTCATAGTCTTATATTTTATATGGACTAGAAAT